TATATATATATATATATAGTATATTGTCTATTATATACATATAGTCTTCGCTAGGTGATCGACTCTATATTATATTTGTTCAGGATATTTGTTCAGGCTCTCGGATCCGAAAGCTCCCGAGAAAAAACAGTCCAAGTGGACAACTTCCCTGAGGAAAAACCTCTAGAAAAACCCTGATTAGGAAATCCTCGCAAGACCCTTGCACTTGCTCCAAAACCTGACAACAAGCCCTGAACAGCAGACCCTAAAAAAATTTGAACCGCGACCTAATTCTTTGGGATCCGTTCGGTCTGAACTTCTTTCGACCCAGGGGCCATGTCGAAAAACTCCGCCAGCTCTTCGTGCGACACGCAGGACTCGCAAAGCTGAGCCGAGGGTGGCGAAGGCACGTCCCAACCAGACGCCGAGAGCGCGTTCTGTTGCAGCCGGTCCGTGACCACCTGCTACAGAAACTGTTTGATTCGTGTTTAGAGTTGTTCGTCTTAGAGTGTCTTTTCCGACTGCAGGAGAACTGGGGTTTTGGCGTCTAGGTTCAGGGTTCGGTGGGCGAGCTACTGTTGCTGTCCTTCTCGGGTTCCGGGGCTCTTTGGCCTGAATACCACGGGCATCTTGACATAACTGTAGTAACCCATCCATGTGACTCAGGCCCATAAAAAAAGCTAACCCTAAACCCTAAACTTCGTGTCCAAGGCGCCAGGAAGTACAGGCAAAGCAGAGTCCATGCCAGGGGCGACAGGTGACCCTCGAAGGACTTGTTCAGTCCCTGAACGGGGCACTTTCGGGGCGTCTGAGTTTTGGGGTCTAGGAGCTTAGGGGTTAGGATTCATAGAGTTTAGGGTAGTTGGCACGCAGTGATGGTCGCTTTAGGTCTCTTTATTCACCAACATCACCGGACTGACTGCCATGTTCCGAAAGATCGCATGACTATCTGATACGACGACCGCCGACATTTGTGCCGCGCCGACCACCACCGAGTGCTAAGGCTACGTGCTGCTAGGGCAGCTGCTGCGATGGCATTTTCCCTGTTCTCTTGCTTCTGCTATCACCATGACTATGGGCATGGCTTCCTAGCGTTACCTTGCTTGTTCACCCTATGATTAGTACCAGTCTTCGGCACTAAAGGTCTGAATAAGTAGTTAACATCCCCTCATATAAACGGTGCTGTCCTATGCCTCAAACACCCCATTCTGATTCTCGGGGCTCTATACTATAGTGAACACTAAGCCACTAAGCATTAAAGCCCTTCATACAGAATTGTGTTGTTGCAAGTCGTCCTCGATCTTGGCCCAGCGCTTCACCAGAAGGACCAGGCAAGCCGCCTGCCAGCAAGGAACGAGTGAGTGCACAGTAACGGTTTGGGGCTTCAGGGTTAGAATATGTGGTTTAGCGTCTAGGGTGTGAATTCAAGCTTCGCCTATCGAGGAGGGAAACATGGAACTGCGATATCCTTGGCTTACATACCAGTTTGTAACGTTTTGTCGTCTATCCCTCACTACCAACCTCCAACTCGAAGTCTTTGTGGTCGCTCCGAGATACGCTTGAAATATTCCTTGGGGGCGGAGTTGACAATACTGCTCTATGCTTCCTTCTCTCGAACCTCCGCCTCCCCTCCCCAACACAATAACCACAAATAGTATGGGGGGGCCGGGGTCGAAATCATCTGCAATAGTATACCCTTATCGTGACTAATACCATAGACCCCAACACCTGCGTTAATTATGAAGGCCCTATAATAAAGACGCCCTAAACTTGCTAAACCACCCCCCCCCCCCCCACCCCCCCACTTCCTCTCCCCTTAACATGGGTCCTTGGGCGATCTGGACAGCGCCCCCTGGATGAGCCGATCCACGTGGCCCTTGCGCACCCCAGAGGAGTCCATGTCGCCCATGCTGACATCCACCTTTTGGTTGAGGACAGGGGTTTAAGGGTTTAGGGTTTT